TTTTCCCACAGCTTAAAAAAATGTATAAATTACAACCACATTTAGAACCTTGTTAATGCATGAATTTCACTAAATACAGAATGTCTTGAAGGAGTTTAGTCACAACCCCTCCCCAAATCTTTCGACCTGTTTGACCTCCTGCCTTATATGTTCCTATCGATCCAGAGTATGGACTCCTCAGACTTGTCAGATGGTCCCATCACCCTGCAGGAGTATCTGGAGGTGAAGAAGGCTTTGGCCTCCTCAGAAGCTAAGGTGCAGCAGCTGATGAAGGTTAACAACAACCTGAGCGAGGAGCTCCGGCGGCTACAGAAGGAGGTAGGAGGAGTGCAGGTGGAACGAGAGGATTAGCAGTGACCATTCAGACTAATAAAGAGTTTGCTGCGTGGCTTCTTAGAAAGAGAATACAAAATGAATAGAAGTTGGAATAAAAGATGTGCTTGGTAAAGATGACTAGAAGACACGAGGCAGATTGGTAAAAGAGACGGGGCAGTTGATTCAGACAGAAAGAGGGTAGAATGATGGAGAGACAGTTGAATAAATTAATATCTTTGCAAGATGATTTTTCCCCGTCAGGGTGTTATTTACTTTCGATGGAGCTCATGTGTTGTTCATTGTTGCATCTTTTTTTTTCTCCCGTGAGTCATTGTCATTTCCCTAATATGTTCATTAGCGACTGGCTTAAGTGATTCATTTATGTGTTCATCTTCTCATGTCACTGAGGATTTAATGAAGATTTGAAACAAACATAGAAAAAAAAAAACACACTGCAAATAACAAATGTGTCAGATTAGGGCGCTAGGCAACAGTACTTCAGGGCAGATGAGCCTACAGTTTCCCCTCATTGACCCCCTGAACACAAACACTGTATTTTCAGGTATGTACTGTAGCCCTCCACCCCTTCCCTAAGACCCAGTCCCAGCTTATTGTAGTGTAATGCCATGTGTTGCATCCCCCCCCTCAATACTGACTTAATATGTGAAGCCCAATATGAGCCTGAATATGGATGCTTGTTTTTGACCGTTCAGTTGACCCCCCCTCCCCCAATTCCCTTCAACCTTCCCATGTTCCTCCTTCCATCCCTCCCTCCATTCTCCCTCCCTGCTGCCTTCCTCCTCTCCTTTAGATCACCCGGATGCAGACAGAGAACAGTGCGCTACGGAGGGGCCAGCAGGCTGGGGGAGCAGCTGGCCATGGGGTAGGGGGACCTGGTGGAGGTGGGGGAACAGGAGGCCACTGGGCAGTGGGGGGGATACGAGGCGGAGTGGGTGGATTTGGGCCAGGAGGGGACCCACCGGTGCTTTCGGTGCCCTCCTCGGCCACCCCCCACTCCCACCCTCACCGGAGGGAACGCCAGGCCTTCTCAATGTACGAGCCAGGGGCGGCCCCCGGCCCCACGGCCCACGGTCCCCCAGTCCTGGACTCCCTAGCGCCCCGCCTGCAGCCCCTCAACACAGCCAGCGTAAGTTAGAACGGCCCTGTCCCCTTTCCACTCACCACCTTCGCCTCGGTGGCTCTGATTGCCTGTCTTTGGCCTGATTAAATAGGTGATGGTCTGATCCTGATCTTTACATTTTTCCCCCTCTTCTTTCCCCTTGCATCTCAGTTCTCAGTCCTTCTCTTTCAAAAGATCCAGTTGTGCACGAACCCATTTTTAAGGGAAGTTTTGTTATGGATCAAAAAGATTTGTTAAAATGAACCTTTAAAACTGCATAAATGATGGAGTGCATACGTGTGACCTGAAGGAGAAAGATGGGAAAGAAAAACAACAAAAAAAGGACTGTTTCTTCTGTTCTGCTGCCTGGCAAAAGCCTCTGATACACCGCTGCATAGCCTGCTCTGCACACTTTGACCTTTTCAAACCCCTTTGACGTCTTTGCTGCTGGACAGTTGCTTAATCTGGAAATGCTGGGATCACACACACAGATGCACAGAAGTTCATTTTTGTTTCACCGCCACTTTAAAGAAAAAATATAATAAAATAAAATAAAATAAAAAGTTTCTCATATTGCAGACAACCAGGTGAGCAGTTCAGCAGCATTTAGTTTACAGCACGTTAATAGAGCTACAGAATGCAGACACATCTCACCGCCGCACCAAGTTGGTGACTGTTTCTTCACACAGAGATTTACCTGTTTGTCTGTTTTCTGTCTGTCTGTTTCTTCACCTGTCCGTTCTTTGCTCACTGCAGTGCAGCCGTGCATCCTCTGGATGTAAGCATTCTGTCTGTCATTGCATTGTTTGCCATTTCGTCTTTGAGTTTCTAGTATTATCTCACAGTATGTAATTATGCATTCTGTTTTTCAGAGATCAACATTAGTATTGAGTATGGGTAGTCTCTTTTTAGATGCTGTGTGCCGTGTGTAAGTCAAGCAGAAGAAGCTAGATTAGTTGACAGTATGTTTGCTTACTGTTAGATAAGCAGCGAGGCATGTAGTGTAGAAAAAGATGATGGGCTGTTGTTCAGTGCTGCTCTCACTGACTCATTTGCCTTGTTTTCCTGCTGTTTATTTAAAAAGAAAACTTCTTCTCTATGTCCCCACGCTTCTTTTCCCCCCTGCTCATTTCATCATCTGTCTCTTTCTGCTAATATTTCAATTGCTTTTTAATCTTCTTTCTGGCCTCACCCATGCTCCTCCATCTCTCTCTCATCCTCTCTCTATCCTTGTGTTCCCTTTGTCCTCCCAGGTAAGGAAGGGCGGCTCAGGGAGTCCATATCTGTCTGGATCTGCAGAGATGGGTAGATACATGGTGAGCTGCTGCTGTTTTGGCTCTTCATTTCTATGATTCTCCACTTAATGCATTCAGAAAGTTGAGATTATTGGCTTACATTGTTTTATCCAAACCAGTGTCTCATGGGTCTGTTGCTGTTGGCCCTAATTTTGAGATTCAATCACAGAATATCCCTCATCCCGTTAGAATTACCCACATACCAAATGTAGTGTAATATCTGTCCCATTTAATGGACATCAATGGAAACCATCTCAATTATATGGAAACAAATGAAAATTCGAATTTTGATTGAGGAGGTATACTTACAGGACATGATGTGTGGTGATTATTTAGTTCCTGCTGTGTTTTTCTTCCAGGTCCCTAAACCAGAGAAGCACGGCAGTGGCACCGACAGCGACTACGACAACACACAACTGTACGACGCCTCAGTAAGGTCAGTGTTTGAATGTAAATCTGCAGTTTAAAAAAAAAAAAAAGATTTCCTAGCTTTCTAAAACCAACTTTTCTACTTTTCTAATGATCTTGTTTTTTAAATGGATTCACAGAAACTGTTTTCAATTACTTATAACACAAATGTGGAGGTAGCAGTTTTTAGTAAGAAACAAGGGGCACAAGCTGTTAACATAATGCCACACAAGGACTGTTAATGCTCATCCATGACCGTCACCTACTGTCCTCGATCTGAGGTTTTAATTGTTGCGCGGGTAATGCGTTTCCCTATCCAGTATGGGCCGCAGCAGTGAAGAGGAAGGCCGTGGGGAGCCTGAGGAGGGTGGGGAGGGGGGTGAGCCAGACCCCACCTTACCCTGCACAGAGGACGTCATACTGAAGACTGAGCAGGTGACTAAGAACATCCAGGAGCTGCTCAGGGCCGCTCAGGAGTTCAAACACGACAGGTAGGTGAAAAAATGGGGGCACAGTCCTTTTCATCTTAAAATAAAATGCATAAAAATTACAAATCTAATTGTGTCTTACAACCAGCCTGTCAGACATTGAATTAAGCTAATGTTATGCTTATTTTTTTCTTGATTTCAATCAGAAAACCCCCCAATATCAAATCAGATCATAGCAATTCACAATCAGTTGATGTTGACATTATGAGAGGCCGAATCACAAAGATGTGAAAGAAAGACAGAGGACAGAAACAAGAGTATTCTAGGGCTGGAAATACAAGACCATGTATAAAAACTGTAAACGGTTTAAATAAAATCTCCCTCTGGGTCAGAAATGGTGAAAATGCACCAAAACCACCAAAAAGCTACTGTAAGTAGTCTTACTGGAAATTAGAAAAGAGCTGAGCAGCTCATAGACACAGTTTATAAAAGTTTATACTGGTCAGTGTCCCCTAACCTAAGTTTACCCTTCATGACTTTTCCAGGAGAATGAGCGGGGTGCACTCAAATGCTCAGGTGCCGTCAGATTAATGCAAAGCAGCACATGTCTGATAGACATAGACAGCACCTTCATCTCCATTTTTAAATGGTAAACTCTGATGTGAATGATGGTCGACAGCTGCACAGTGAGAATGTAGTTGTTAACTCCAGTAGCTGAACTGTTACGCTAGCAATATTTTCCAGCTTTTACTAGAGGAAGCCACATAAGAAATATAATCTCTTCAGAATGTTGTGGGTGCATTTATTTGCAGTCTCATACTTGCGGTCACCAGGGTTACCAAGGGCCAATGACGATAGGTGTAATAAGGAAAGAATGCAGTTATTGTAGTTTGAGGCTAATGCAGTGTTTCTCCTCAGTTTCAACTCTTTTGTTTTATTTAATTACAGCACACTAAACCTTTCTATTGATAAATACGGCTGGTGTTAAGAAATCTATTTAAATCTCTTTAAAAATGAAAGATTTGCTGTGTGACTTTTCTTTTTCTTTTTTTACCCACCTTTAACGTGACTCACTCAAACTCACAGTTTGATAAACTTTGCTTCCTGGACACCAGCTCCCTCTTTACCACAGGAGTCGTTGCAGGAACCTCGCCTGCTCCCCTGAATTAGTGCTGTTGCACAGTCCTTGACTCATTTGACTCTTCAGTTAAAGAATCACTTCTCTTTTCAGTTTTGTGCCGTGTTCTGAGAAGATCCACTCTGCTGTCACAGAGATGGCTTCACTTTTCCCCAAAGTAAGTGCCCTGTCCTTATGTTGTATTTCTCACTATGTCTCTCATCTACATCTACATCTTCTTTTTTCTTTTTTGATTGCTTCCATCTGTCTGCAGCACCCAGCACTGGATGCAGTCCACTGTTCTCTCCGCCTGTTGGCTTCCAGTGCCTCGCGACTGCAGGTGGAGTGCCGTAAGGCGGCGCCTTCTGAGCCTGGCGCTCCTGCAGTAGACTACCAGCTTCTCACTCAGCAGGTCATCCAGTGCGCCTACGACATCGCCAAGGCTGCCAAGCAACTGGTCACAATCACCACTCGTGAGAAGAAACAGTGACCCGACAAAAGAAAGAGAGAGGATCAGTGCATGTGCGGTATAAAGTGGGATGGGAGGGGGCTTCCGGGAGAGGGAGAAAGAGGGAGGGGCAGGGGGTGGGAGGGGAGAACGATCACACTACAGGATGAAGGGTAAGGAATTGAAGTGACGGGGGAGCAAGGCTGACATGAGGAAGAGAAAAGAGAAAGGAAGGGAATTGGTTGGAAGCAAAGCAGAGGACGTTTGTATGATAGAAACACTACAGTGAATGGAAAAAAATTCCACAGGCGTGGAAGCGAAAGTAGGGAAGGACGAAAGGAAGGAGCCAACACGGGAACCACAGCCCGCAGGGACCTTAGCAGACTGTTGGAATGGGATGTGTACCATAAACTGCTCAAACTGTGACGAGCATACGTGTCATAGACTGCTTTATTTATTCTCACTTGTAACTCATCGTCACTCCTTCTCCCACTTCGGGAGGGAGGCAGCGTATGCTCCGAGAGAGAAGTAGATAGACCAGCCTCCACGCCATCGCAGTCCCTCCGTCCTTACGAGGAATCGGGTTGTCCTTCCTCCTCTTCTTTCCTCTCTCTAAAGAAGAGGGACCCCGCACCCCCACGCTGTCCCAGGCTGGATGAGCGTCCGGTGCAGAGAAGGACCTGCAGCCCACTCAGTCTGATTCCCACACTTTCTTCCACATGGGGGTAAGCATTTACAGGAGGGGCTCCAGCTTTTTTTTTTCTTTTTTTTTTTATTAAACCCATCACCTTCCCTTTCTTTTGGTGGTACACAGCATGATGTGGCATGTTTTCCTTTCTTTCCTCTCCTTTTTTTGCCTTTTGAATGTGCAGGTCTGTTTGGTCTGACAGAAATACTTTTTTCTTTTTTTACTGACTTACGGAAACAAAAACCCTTACACTGGAATAATTGTGATTTATTGTTATTGTTGTTGTTTTTCTTGCCTATTGTTTTTGCTTTGTATTGATAATTTTACTGACTGTCATTTTTTATTTTATGTATGTTTTTTTTCCTTGTCTCATTTAGTTGAATATGGAGACAGGTGGGAGTATGTGTTAACCTCTTACTGGGATTTAAGTCTACATGCACACAAACAAACAAACACACGAATCAGCCTGTGAAAAAAAGGTCCTCGACATTTCTCAAGCGCTCCTTTTCAAAGACAGTTGAGTTTTTATTACATTTTCCTTCATGTGATATATACATCTTATGGCCGTGGGGTGTTGAACAGTTGCCAAAGGCATGGTGCATTATGACTGGACCAGGATCACAACTGCTCCTCCTTCATGTCCTCAGCTGTCTTTTTTTCCCCTCTTTCTTTGCGCTTGATTTCTCTTACTGTTCGCCTCATTACCAGAGCCAGTGGAATCATCTCAGAATCACCTTCGTAATCATTTTTTCGCAGTCCCAAGCAGAATAATAAGAACATCTGGTTTCCACATGGAGGATTAAGCCCCAGTCTTCCTCAAAAAGTGCTTATGTGGCACGGGTGCTTTACTTGGTAACTGTTGAGTGTCATTAAGCGGACACACTGGTGTGTCGGGAGTTGAGCTTTAAAAGTAGACCTGTGGAGAAAAAACAAAAGCACCAGATCTGGCAACCAGGATCACAGATAGCATTCTGAGGTGCACTTGATTTAGTTTGCCAAGTATTATTATGTTGTTGTTGTTTTTTTTTTACCCTTGAGACTGTTTGACAAGCTTCTGTGGAAGCCTGCGAGCAGTTTTCTGTCACAGCCTGCTGATCTGGGCCACAGAAGTTGTCTCTTTTTAGCCATCTGCCTTTCTGCAGACAGCGTTGGGAACAAAACTCAGTTCAGTTCAACCGACTTATGTCAGTCGCGTACTGTGCCGAACAAAACTGGTCATATCTGTAAACACGTTGGGAACTTCTGGGAGGACTGTCCTCTTTCTTTTTTTTCTCTCTCTCTCTCCCTTTTCATTTTTTTTAAAGTTAAGATTCTACTCTAAAACCTTCACCAGTGCTCCAGCAGCGGGTTTCCTCGGTAACAGAGAGATTTCCTCACTTCGCTCTTTTGTGTAATCTCAGCGTTCAGTTACTCACCTGAAACACTGAAGGATCAAACCACAGTCACATCTCAGTTTGTGTCTTGTATTGCTGCCTTTTATTTTTCCCCACAAGATGACAAATTGGCTCCAAACACCTTGAGGTAATGCCTCATCATTTCTGTCCACTCCCCCCTCCCCCCGGCAATATTTTATGGTTTATATATATATTTTTTAAATCTTTTACTCTGATCACTACGTGGGATTTCAGTCCATGTCCCCTCAGTCTTTGACATAGTTGCACACATGTCTCTGCATGGGAGGGAAACTTGGACTGTGCGTTGAAAAACTCTTGAAATGTATCATTGTTTAATATTGAATGCCTTTGCACATCGTCATCATCATCTCTTGTATGACTGGCTGAGTTGCGGTGATCTCGTACTGACTGCTGATACAACAAAAATACTACCACACTTACACACACACACACCAACACACACAGGGGGCCAGCAAGAAGAACGTGTCCCCTTTAATCATGATTGCCCATGTTTTAGTCTAGAGCCATATATATATATATAAATATATATATGAACGTATATTTTTCATGCTATATTTTATATTAAGCTGTAGTTTTTGTTTGTGAGATATTTATATATTTGTTGGCCTAAATGGGCTTCAGGCCATGACCTCTGTTCACCAAGTCCTTGCTCACCTCTTAAGTCTCGGCACCTGATGTACTTGGAGTTGTTCAAATGTTTTGAGGTTACGGTGTGGTGTTACTATGTAGTCATATTGTACATATTAACGATCCTGCTCGTATCCATGGGAAGATGGGAATGACAACGTGTCTCCTTTGATCTTAGTTGCACTATTTTAACACCTGCTGGATGACGTAGGATCTGCAGTGTTTACTGCACTCTCCCAAAGGTCTTAGCTCAAGTACATTGGGTGCAGGATTGGATTTGGCATATGGAAATATGGGTGGGGGTATGGTCTGAAGCACACTTGGGCTTAACACTACAGTCATCTCAAAAGATCACGAGGAGGGGGGAGGGGGTCTTAAAAACGCACATGGCCCAGTCCTCCTCTGAGTTAGTGGACACTACATAGGGTGCCTCTAGTGTGAATGTTTAATGCTCGTGTCAGTTTTGTCACACTTTGCAGACTTTATATGCCTTCATTCTGTTCAGAATTTAGCACATAGACAACATCAGACACTCACCCTTATCGGTTGGACCAAGCCATGCACAGGTACAAACATTGACTCTTCAGCCAGACTTTAACACACACACACGCATGCACACACACATCAGATTCTCAGCCGTGACAGTGCACTGTAGCCTGTGCTGTCGCATTCCTGTGTTTCTTCACAGCTCAACAGTTTGGGAGATGGGAGAGTTATCTTTTAACAGAAGACAATTAAGAACTGTAAAGTAGGGAAAACAACGACTTCAAAAGGTCAATCGTAATGGAAACTCATAAGCTGTACATTTGTAATAAAATAATAAAACAATTTAATTGTCCAGGGTTTGCCTGCATTTCTTTTTCTTACTAAATGGTTTTTCCCCTATATAGGAATTGTTAGTACATGTGCAAGGAGCGTTTCAGCTGAGAAGATACTCGAGCCTTTCACTGTTGACAGCAGATGATGCTGATGGAAATGATGTCGTAAGGCAAAAAAAACGCTGCAGATGGTGCTAATCTGCACGTGTATGCAGGCAAAGTAAGCAGTAATTTAAAGCTAAATTTCTGCTTGGCTGGAAAGTAAAGCATGTCATTTTATGTTGTTGTCAGCTTTGTTTTCGCCCAAATTTAATATTTAATTTAATTGCCTTTACACATGTTTATACTTTTTTTAAAAGGTAATTTTAAAAAGTATTGAGTAATAGTTCTACCTTCAAAAGTTGTTTACACATCAACATTCAGCCACAGCTGTAGCAAGTTTACATCAACAAGAGTTTGGGGGAACAACAAAAACAAAACCTGACCATCTTGCACTTAAAGTGGACCTGTTATGCTTTTTATTATTTTGAACTGGTAAATGTGCAATGCCACATCAGCAAGCTAATGGACTATTTTAAGTACACAATCTGACTAAACCCCATAATTTTCGAGGCGTCTATGATGGGAACTGCAAAAGTACATTTGAGATCATTCAGCAAAAACTTTTCACACTCTGCCTTCCATTGTGGTCTGGATCATCACAGTTCAACTCACGTTCTCTCCTCCTCCTTCAAAAAGACCGGATCATTTTGTTTTCCCCCCACACATCCATTACTGATCTGGATGTTCTAACTTTACAGTTTTAATTTTAATCCAAGTACCTGTAGACTCACTCTTTACAAATCACACAATCACATCTCCAGAATGCAGCTATTCACGTTTGTTTGACAACACAAACATAGCGTTGCTTACAACAGCAACTTACATTTTGCATATCAAACCTTTACAGTTAAAAGAAACATTTCTGTAAAACTAATTCTGAAAACATTTTTAAAGCTTAAGAGTTTTGGGAACTATTTGGGGAATGGCTGGTTATAATTTAACTGTTCTTTTGGAAAAAACTTTTTTTTGTCCTTTCAATTAAAAAAATATTGACATGTTAAAAATATGACATGGTGGGTCCTCTGTCAAATTACTATGAGCCTGTTCATTGTGGTTGTAAGGCTGCTACAGTGCGTGTAATTTACAACATTTAGGTTCTCTCAGATAAACTGTACACCGTAGGTGTAAGACGAGTCCAACATACATAACACAAACTTTTTCTTTTCCTTCAGGTCCCCTCTTCCCCCTCATCACTCCAAACAGTGTTGGGGGTGTTTCTTTCAGTTCTACGGACATTCATCTGAGCTGGAGGAGCTCGGCAGGAGAACGCATTCTTGCCTTCTGCCCCTTTTCCGCCTTCTCTTTGCAATTCGCAACCTTCTGCGGATCACATCTGGAAGAAAAAACATAACAGGAATAAGCTTGGCTTGTAAGCTCCACCTAAAAGAGAATGTGTATCTTTCAGAAAAATTCTAATTTAATTGATGCATAACAGCTCTATTCTTTATCCCTGATGACGTTACCTGCAACACTGTCGTAGTCGTCGCTTGGGTTGTGCCAGTAAAGGCTCGGCGTGATCCTCCAGTGGCGGTACAGGCGAGTGTGAAGCACTGACAGAGTCAGGAGAACCAGCAGGAAGCCAAGCGCCGCTGCTGCCCACACCGCTTCGTCCGTCCTCGGGGTCCTTCGCAGCTCTCTACATACAACAGTAGCAGCAGCAGCTTGGGCCTCTGATCCCGAGGCCTTGGCACAGTCACAGTGTTCACCTGGTGCGCAGCTGTTGCAGTCACGGCTGATAGGCTGGCTGTGGCTGGCTGCCTGTGGATGCTGTTGTGCCTGAGCCTCTGACTGGGGTTTAGGCACAGAGTCGGAGCCAGTGCTTTCACTTTTTTGGTGAGATCCTGGGGCACATTGGATCTGCGTATGCTCCAGTTCTCTCTCCTTTACATCTACCACTTCATTATCCTCCATGTTGCCGTCAGATGAGTCGAGGATTTTCTCTTTAGACTTGTCCACTTTGGTATTGTGTTTAATAGTGTCTGTTTCCTTGAGAATCAGGGCTTCAGACCTGTCGGTAAAGGTGCGTTTACTGCTCACACCATGTGCAGAAACAGGAGAGTGGTTCAGTTTTCTGAGGCCTTTCCGAGCTTCTGTCTCAGAGATATTTAAGGCCAAGGGAGCTGTGAGCCTGGGTTTAGAGGCTTGAGTTGGAACCTGAGGAGCTTCTCTGGAGCTAGAAAGATCAAAGAGTTTCCTCTGATCTGCTGATGATCCAAGCGTGCTGCTGTTATTCTGACCATCTCCTGACTGCTGAGGAACAGTTCTGGAGACATTTGCCATAGTGTTATTGCTCTCATTGCTGTCAACAACTTTCAGGGCAGCTCTCATCTGCCTGGTTTTGCTTCCCACTTTTCTTTGTTTTGAGCGTTCGCTCTTCACGCTGTGCTCTAGTTCAGCCTCTGTGGCTCCGCTTAACAGAGAATAGATGGTCCGCTCACAACACTGCCTCAGGGAATCCTGCAATGTTAGTTATATCAGACAACTGAAATTACTCATTTATTTACTAGTCTATACGTTAAAAAACATCACATAACTCAACAAAGCTAGCTCAATCTTGAGTCATGTTTCCTAACCTTCATTTTTGTTGTTTGTTCTAGCTGATGCAGCTCTGCTGACCAGGTCAGCAGCAGGGCATACTTCCTCATCTGTGTCATATCATCAGACTCTTTTCTTGAAGTCTGACCTCTGTGATTGACCTCCAGCCAATCACAGAGGTCTAAAGACGCGGCGGTGGACAGCTCCAAGGTGCGACCCCAGGACACAAAAGCTACAGGCTGATCACAGAGCAGAGAAAACACATTCGGTAACTTTCCTTTCTCCCAGAGGCTAAAAACTTATCTTGTACTTCATGATGCCATGAAGTACAAGACCATCACTACTGCCTGAGTGCTTTTAAAAAGGCCTTTTTAAACGAATAACTGACAGTTCAATGACAGGAAAACACCCTCAACAGTCTTTGTAAAGCAAACAATGCTTTCGCATCTCGTCTCTCTCCGAGATCCTGAGTTCCAATCTGAAATGGTATTAAATCTAACAAGCATCCGTGTTTAACATCCCAGAAGTCCAACAAATTTTGATGAAAACAAAGGTTGATGAAAGTGTTTCTTACCATGTGTTTATTGAGCTGTGGGTGTGGGGTCATGATGTAGGACTGCAGACAGGAGCGAGCCAAGTCGGACAGGATCTGACGCTCGCGAGGCGGTGCACACGGATGGTAGAGCAAAACCGCCGCTCCACGCTACAAAACACAAAACACCGCACGTGTGACCAGAATCTCCCCATTATCCACCATTACTGCAGCATTCTATGATTAATTAACATCTATGTACTCAAGTGCTTATAACAACATAAACATTGTATCAACATAACATTTTCTAATTAGTCCTTCTAATGTTGCTTTAAAAAAAATCAATATTCCTATTGGTCGATGTTCTCTCTGTGGAGAACGATAGCTGAGAACTAGCTGTGATCCACATTATATGCTGGCATATTACTGCAGGAGGCCAAATCTGTGATTTTCAAGGAAAATTCATAGTCGGTGTCAATCCTCCTACCAAGGGTCCAAACACATAGAAAATAACGGCTGGTACACTTGCCTGGTTTACTCTTAAGCTGCACTAAAAACTACACACCGTGTCTCGACTGCAGTTTGATATGAACATGAGTTTCAGCTTGGAATTTTATAAAGGCTAATTTGTAACTCAAGATTTAGGTGTGTGTTCTACTGTCAACAACCGCCCGATTCCTCTGTGCTTTTATCTACTGTATTCGGATTTTACAAGCGTTCCTTCCTAAAGCAGAAACCAAAAACAGGTAGGCGACTGACCTTCCCACTACACATTTTTACTTGTCACCATAGAGAAGGCACAGGTGTATCAATGGTGGCTGCCTTCCTTTTAGGAGAGGCCACCTGTTTGGTGCGGGCCGTACAAACTATACACATTTTCCATACTGTTACAATTAAAAATGTTTGCTGTGATTAAAAAAGTTAAATAAGTAAATGCTGAAACGTGCTTGTTTTGTTAATGGGTGATTTTAAATTGGCCATAGTTATGAATGTATAATACCCTAACCTAGATTAAGAAATGGATGGATCAAGGAATGAAAAACAAAGAAATACTCCAGTCCTGCTATTGTTATTCATGGTATGGCTATAAATGCTTCATGACAAAATGACAGTTTCTCTCTATTAAATGCGAAGAGTTTTGATCCTGAGCCAAAGATCACCATCCCCACACTCAAGCACAGAGGTGGAAACTTTATGCTTTGGGACTGTTTTTCTGCTAAAGGTACAGGATGCCTTCGCCACATTGACAGGTCAAAACACTTTATCTAAAAACTCTGCATTTTCTCTCATTTTACAGTTAGCTCCTCCCTTGTAGAAAATGCTGTTCTGCTACCAGTATGTCTGTCCAGGTTTTTTTATTGGTGTCAGCAATCCCCCCCCCTTTTTTAATGTAAATACACACAGGGCTAGAATTAAAAACACAAAACAAAAAGAACGCACACTGTATAACACTACGAGTGCACTGTCACGGTGATGATGATTAACCATAGGGAGGTGTGTTTAGGGTAGTTTTTATTTAGCAGTATAAAGTTACTCTGTTAGTTGTTAAACGCTAGTATTTGTGTAGCTGTGAGTTATGGAGTACTGTGTGCTTTAATGAACTTTAATGCACAAAACAGTAATACCCATAATTTTGCTGTACTTCAGTGAGGTGACAATAAAGGTTTCCTAACTGTTGGTTCTAAGTGATCCGCTGCTTGTTGTTAAAACAGTTTTGCAAACTAACTGAAGATGCGCCACCCAAATTAACAGGTTGTTACTATAAGCTTAAACGCAATACACTAGCGGAGGGGGGGAAAGTAAGTCAATCAATAAAGTATGGCCTCAAGGTGGATGTGACTGAGTGCTGAAAAACACATGTCCTGAAAGTACTGCAAAAAGGCTCAGTTTACACAGAATACACAGGATGCACATATCTCTCCGATGAACAGACAAACTGATGTTTCAGAAGATGCAGAGGCAGCAGCAAACCATGTGCAATAGTGCAACTAACCTGCAAGTTATTGAGCCACCGCTGAGGAGGACAGTACAAGTACTCTCCGCTCTCTGCTCCTATTGGTCTGTATGCTCCACTGCAACACAAACACCAACACAGAAACACAGGTTAATGTCTTCAAAAGCCTTAACCCTTTCACGCATAGTGGTCACTAGTGGACACCTTTCAAAGGCTGTTTTCTTGTATTTGTGTCAGTGTTGATGGTATACTTGCACATAAACCACTACATTGGACACTGATGTGTCACTCCATACCCTGCCACCCACTGGTCGTTTAATGTTACTATAGATGTAAGACGTGTTTCATTGTAATTATTGTTATTTAACCCTGTAAATGGTAAATGGACTGGTTCTTATATAGCGCTTTTCTACTCTTCTGAGCACTCAAAGCGCTTTACACAACTTGTGCATTCACCCATTCACACCCATTCGCACAAGCACATTTCTCTAGGTGCTTTCTAGATAACATTCACACACATTTCTAGATAACATTCACACACATTAATACTCCGATGGATGCATCGGAGAACAATTTGGGGTTGCCCAAGGATATTTGGCATGCAGACT